AGTTAATAAAAGGATGAAAAATTTCCTATAACTCTACAGTGTCAAAAAAAGATGATTTATAAGTGTAAGTGAAAAATTAACTTATGAATACTTCTCTTTGATCAAGATAATCTTATAGAAAGTGATTTATCTATGAGATGAATCTGTGTAGCAGTCACATCAGAATCTTGCAGAAAAATAATTAAAGATTAACTGAAGCTCTTCAGATTGAAAGATGTGAAATAAATCTGTATAATAATTACATAAGAATCTTGCAGAAATAGTTGAGAGTTAACTGAAACTCTTCTATATAAAAGATATGAGATGAATCTGTATAATAGTCAGAGAAAGATCTGCAGGTTATAAAGAATCTTATAAAATAAGTAACTAAGTAACAGAATCTTTTCTCTTCATAGTAATAAGGAATTTTTCCTCACTGAGATTTTTTATAGATGTGAAAAGTTTCTAGTGAGTATCACTGCAGTACTGAGTCTGATTCTACGAAATTACTCAGTGAAAGACTTCACAGATGAAGTCTTAGAGAGAGAGAAGTATATAAGAAATCTCACTTTTTATAAATTCTTTACATCTATTTCTATTTCTTATGTAATTAATAGAGTTAGCAGCTCTTGACTACACACAACTGTATAGACTGAAGTTCATGAATACTATTCATAACTTAGCTTAAATGCTATTATACATTTGACCTCTATATTTTATCTTTCTATCATGAATACTTCTAGTAGTTAACAGTATATATCACGCCAAGCTGTAAATATCTGAATAATCGCCTGCGAGCACTTATTCTTACAGAACTTCTTAGAAGAGAATTTTATAACTGATCACTCTGTTTATAAAGTACTAAAGAGTAAAAGAGAGTATCAGGTTAAAGAGATTATTAATATAGAGAAGTGAGATTACAAGCTCTGATTTAAGATTCAGTGATAAAAGTATTCTGATAAGATGAATAAACTCACTTAGAAATTATCTAAGTAGATAAGATATCTGCAGAAGCTGAGATATGACTTTTATACTATAAATTTTAATAAGTTAGAATAATACAGTCTTCACTAAGAATCTGATTAGAATAAAGATATTAACACTGTTATTTATAAACTCTAGTTTATAAAAAAAATAAGTTTGTACTGAGATGAACAGTTTATAATATATACAAAGAAAAGAAGAAATCATATTATTATTTAAGCTAAAAAATAAAGAAAAATAAAGATCAGACTCTGAATATAATTTAGTAATTAATAAAGAAAAACTAAAGAAAATTGATACTTATATTCTTATTATCTGTGATACTTAATTTCTCTGTAACTATTAATTTCTCTTTTTAAAGAAACCGAGAGTATTATATCTATAGTATAGACAGTTATTATATTTAATATCAAGATTACTGAAAATACACAGACTTTAAAAGAGCTAAATATTAGAGTGTATACAGTTATAGCAGAGTCTTAAAGACTGAGTATCTATATATATTATCAGATATCTCTTATGAAGCTGTATTTACTTCTTCAGTTATACTGAAGTATTCAGTCTGAAAATTATTAAGATACAGAGAGAGAGCTCATCTACTCAGATTAACTCTTATTATGAATTTATAGTATTTATATTAGTTTAATTATCTGAATTTTCCAGATATCTGAAAACTCATCTCTTATTAATATCAGAATTTCAGAAATATGCTGTAGTATGAGAATCATTGATAGAGAATTTAAATATATTTGCATATATATTGTCAGAGATTATATAAATAGAGACTTAAGAGAGAGTAATTATACATCTGTAAAGCTGCAGAGAGTACTGACAGTATTAAAAGCTTTAGAAAAGAAACTATCAGCTATAATCTCTAAGAAACTACTTATAGAGAGACTTACAGTAAAGAGTGAGACTATGCTATTAAGAGTTAGAAGCTGATCTGAAAGAAGTACAGAATTAACTATTAATCTAAAGATTAAGCATAGTAATAAGACTGAGAGAAGAGAAGATACTATTATAGATAATAATATCTCTATATTATCAGCTAGTAGAAAGTGATTAGAAATATTATAAGAATACTTATAAAAAGCTCAGCAGCAGTTAGATATTATTCACAAAGCTATTAAAAATTTAGAATAATTTTTAATTTTTAAGAAGTTCTTGAATTATATACAGATATTATTAGAAACACTATCTCTCTATTATCAGAGTTAAAATACTTTATGAATAACTGAGAATACTCACAGATTATAAGAATGAGAGCTGTTATAAAAAAAGAGAAAAGAAGATAAGATTTTATAAACAGATTTGAAATATTTATACTACTCTGAGAAGATCTATTTACACTATAAGTAATTCTATGAAATAGTTAGATTACTCTAGTAAATAAAAAGTAATTGTAAATTATAGATCTAAATCTTTTTAAGTAACTATAAAGAGTAATTATAGACTATGAATATTTTAATTCTACAATTCTACAGGGTTGATAAAAGAATAAAAAATTTCTTACAACTTTATATTATTAAAGAATAATAATTTATAAGAATAAGTGAAAGATTAACTTATAAATACTTCTCTTTGATAAAGATAATCTTATAAGAAGTGATTTATTATATGAAATAAATCTATGTAACAGTTATATAAGAATCTTATAGAAAAATAATTGAAGATTAACTGAAACTCTTCAGATTAAAAAATATAAGATAAATCTATATAATAGTTATATAAGAATCTTATAGAAATAGTTAAAAGTTAATTAAAACTCTTCTAAATAAAAGATATAAGATAAATCTGTATAATAGTTAGAGAAAGATCTGCATATTATAAAAAATCTTATAAAATAAAAAACTAAGTAACAGACTCTTTTCTCTTTATAATAATAAGAGATTTTTTCTCACTGAGATTTTTTATAGATGTGAAGAGATTTTAGTAAGTATTATTACAGTACTAAGTCTGATTCTATAAAATTACTCAGTAAAAGACTTCACAGACAAAGCTCTAGAGAGAGAGAAGTATATAAGAAATCTCACTTCTTATAGATTTTTTATCTGTATTTCTATCTCTTATATAATTAATAGAGTTAGCAGCTCTTAACTATATATAACTATATAGACTGAAGTTCATAACTACTATTTATAACTCAGCTTAAATATTATTATATATTAAATCTCTATATTTATCTTTCAACTGTGAATACTTCTAGTAGCTATTAATATATATTATATCAAGCTGCAAATTACTAAATAATTGCCTGTGAGCACTTATTCTTACACTAGTATATTACTATAGTAAAACTGAATAATATTTTACAGAGTACTATACTATAGTAGGTTTACTAAATTTCTTCTATTAAGTTAATATTTACACTTTTCAAGATTGCATAGAGAAGAAATAAGACTTATATATTAAATTAATCTAAGACTACTAGACTGGCCGCCAGGATCATGAATTTCACATTTGATTTCATATGATCTGATTTCATAGATTTCTTGATGTGAATCCCGCTGAGACTAGTCATTAAAAAAACATGCAAAGTGACTATATATCAGATCTTAAAATGAAATCATAACTTGAAAAAAATAAGAAAGTGATCTTATTTAATTTCATTTAGTTTCATTCTTGACATAAAGTTACTATTTTTAGACATTTTAAGGTTTTTTTTAGACTATTTTTAATTTTTTAAAAAGTAACACTTTTTAGTAATGCTCAAATGAGATTTAAAGTCATTTAAAGCAATAAAAATAATTTAAATTGAGAAGTGGAAATCACAGTCTTATTTGAAAAATGTGACAAGAGTAGACAGTAAGTCTCACTGAGACAGTATGAGACTACTATCTAATGTTAAAACTGTGTAATGAGATCAGTTGAATTGATAATGAGACTATTAAAAAATCTGGTCCTGATCTCAGACACAGTCACACGGTCAGTTTAAAGACTACTATAATATTAACTATCAGAGATTTGAATAAGCAGATATTAAAAATATAAAGATAGTGAAATATAATTCTTTAATAAGTAATAATCTTTAATACTACTTTATATTATATAGAATTATAATACTAACTTTAAAATAAAACTTATATATATTAATTGTAACTAAAAATCAGATAAAACTATACATTTATAAAACTGAATTTAACTACTATTTTCAAAATAATTTAATGAATTTATATATTAAATTAATTCTAGAGTTATAAAAAATTATTAAGAGTATATATTTAACTAGTATTCTAATAATATATAATATTCTGATAATTTCATTAATAGAGATAAGAATAAAGTGAAAGTTTAACTTAAGTTAAGATATTTATTACTATTACTACAGATAATTATAAAAAGAAATAATTAAGAAACTTATAATTATAAAATATAAAATTATCAGATAGTTTAATATCTTTAATTATAGTATATTAGAAAAGTATAGTTTTTATAAAAAAGTAAAAAATAAACTTATATAAGAATATATTTAATTATTTTATAAGTATTATTAATAATTATTATTAAATTCTGATTATATAAGTAATCACTGAATAAATTAAATAAGACTGAATTTAATCTTCAGTCTTAGTCTTATTTTAATTTTAAAAGAATGATTATCTTTCACTGTTTATTCTGAGAAATTACTTTCATTTCACTGTTCTTGAATTAAATCTAGTTATTTTTCACATTATTTCTGAAAGAAATAGTCTATTTTCAGATTTTTTTAATGCTCAGTCCTGATGGGACTCACATCAAGAAATGTATAAGATCAGATCAAATAAGACCAAATGTGAAATTCATCATCCCGCCAGCTAGTCTATGTATAACTGCTTCATAGTGCATGTTGTGAGTGTTTGAAGATGAATGAAAAAATGAAGATTGAGCGGGCGTTGAGTAATTGATCATGTTCAACTTCTTAATAATAATAAAAGTTATTTTCATAATTTTGACTTGATAAAAAGCATAGAAGCTACATGATAAGAACTCCAGAGAGAGAAGTTGCAATTTTAAGAGATGAGAGTCAGCAAACATGACTCTCAAAACACTCACTGGAATCATTCCTGCTCAATGTGACTGAGCAGCTTCGGAGAGTTATCTGTGTATTCATTGTACTGAAGTAGGGATTTGTTGCCACTGTTCAGCATCTTCATATAATACTCTGGAGGGTGCTCATTGTCAGCCAGCAGACCAGCCAGATCATGAGTGTTATTCTTGCCTTGTTTGTTGTAATCGGCTGGGTCGGTCGCCGTGCTGTCGCTATGATAACTGCCACCATCATTGTCGTCCACATCCATCTTGTCTTCCTCGCTGTTGTTTCACTGACGACAGGTGACGGTGTGCTGCATCGACGCACCATCTTCGCCCTGAAATACATCGAACAAGTAGAAAAGGATGGAATGGGGACATCAGCAGTACATGATTGAAGGAACAGAGAGCACGTTGGTGATGAGAAGGCTGTAGAGGTGGGCAAGGGTGACTTGATAGCTGGGGCAGTGAAGATTACATTGGTCACCCGCTGGAGAGAAACTATAGGCAGGCTCTGGGTAAATGGGGGGACGGTAGAAAAGTAAGCATGCAAGCGCTTCTTTGTACTGGGCCGCAAGGCACAAGACAAGGGTGTATGGTGTGTGGCGCGATTGGACAATCGGCCTTCTTCTGCTATTTATTATAACTTTTCGATGCAAAAAACGCGGTAACATGACATCACGTGCACCCCATCAAAATATGTAGGCTACTGTGGCACAAATACGCCGGGCTAGCTCAATCGGTAGAGCGCTGGTAGAAGGGCCGATCAACCCGGGACCCCCAACAAAATATGTAGTGGCACCCGCCCAGTGGCATTGTCCTAGCAATTGCTTGCCCTCTCTACCACCATCTACTACTAACTATCTCTACCCCTTTCTTACTACCTCTACCCTACCACATCTATCACCATCATCAGATTAATCATACAGGCTGCAGAGCCAGCCATTCAATCTCATGAATTCAAAGAAATGCACATGACATCACATGAGATCATATTACAGTGTTTTTTGCATGAAAAAGTTGAATTTTCTATCATAAATAGAGAGATCAGAGAAGCTAGCTACATTATATTACATATGCTAGCTACATTATATTATATATCTCTCTCTTTGTTATAGAAAAACCAACTTTTTCATGCAAAAAACACTGTAATATGACATTATATACATCTCATCAAAAATATTTACTCAGCTCAGCTCTGCTCTTCAGCTCATACAGCTCAGATCAATCTTCAAATCTTCATTCTTTTATTCGTTCTGTTTTTTTCATACATTCTCTACAGTATTTACATTTCTTATACTCTTCTGAGTTTTCTCTATATTCATTTTTGATCTCTGTGTTCATGACACGCACTGCTAAATGCTCTGTAACATGATCTCATGTGATGTCATGTGCATCTCTTCAAATTCATGAATGAGATTGAACAGCCAGCTCTGTGACCTGTACTGCTCTGATTAATCTGATAATGGTGATAGAGGTGATACAGGGTGGAAGAGGGTGGTAGGGGTGGTAGAGGGAGTAGAGTCTGTAGAGAGCAGAAGAGGTGATAGAAGTGGTAACAGAGAGGTAGAAGTGGGGAGTGGAAGTGATAGGGGTGGCTGCAGGGCAGCAGAGGCGGTGGTGGTAGAGGAGGTAGGGGGTGGAAGGGGTGGTAAGAGAGGGGTAGGGGTAGGGGGTGGAAGTGGTAGGGGGGGCTGCGCAAGCAGCAAAGCGAGCGTAAGCGAGCATTTGATGCTTGTAGTTAACAATAGTATTTTCTGTAGCAGTTGGGTCATACTTAGGGATGATAACAGAGCCATTCGTGGAATGCTTAATGAAAGATTGTGAGGCAAGGCTCACCCAACAGCCCAGCAATTTGCTGCGCCAGCAAACTCTACCCTTGCAGAAAATGTAAGGGTGGGCTATATTTCCCAGGTTCAAAGGCTCTGCGGGGCGGGGACCATCTTAACAACGCCGATGCAGGCGCTGAAAAGTGTAAACACCGTAGTTCTCCGTATTGTTAAAACAACTAAAATGGCCTGTAGGATATGGTTAAGAGTGGAA